TGCGAGGTGTTACAATAAGTTACTTCACATCGATCATTGTTTTAATAGTATTTCGTTTACTTAATTGGTTAATTGTTCTAATGACTTTCAGATGCAGTTTATGGTCTGGTATCCTGTAAAGTTTTTTGTTTTGAATTTCATTTTACTGATTTTTTCAGTTTGCATGTAGAAACTGTATAGTTAATAATTTTGGCTTTATATCAACTTGTTGGTTCCTTGAAGAGATGGTAACTTGCTACTTTTTCTCTGTTCCATAACTTCTCTTCCTGAGGAAGACGCGATCTAGATCTGTTCACAACTCAAACATGATGTTCATTTTGTACAAGTTTTCAGTGTGCATATTCTTGAAACGATGTTGCATTATCTATTGAAAATTTTCTTGATGGGTCTCTAAAGATTTAATTATGATGTTCTCTTGTTATGATCATTCCTATCTTGGATCAGAGAGAGTATTTAATAACAAGAAAAAATTAACTTTATTTGAGAAATATTTATGCTTTTCTGGTATCATTTCCTCTTTGTACAATGCAAAATATACCATGACTCAAATTTTCTCAATAGTAATTTTTTCCCCAAAAAAGCACATTCACACATCAACTCATCAAGACATGAACTTCCTTTTAGGTACCACACTATGAATTTCTTGTCGACAACTTATATTAAGACGATGTACCCTGCGAGCTATGGTAGAGAATATTTATTATCCCATATTGAAGTTTTCTTTGAAAGCATCTTTGGAAATTTTATAGGTCACAACCTCAATTTCATGTAACTTTCCACATAGCTTAAGTAGGCCTATTGAAGAAAATACATTAACGCTGTTTCCTATACGTCTTTCGTTAGTCTTCTCTCCTCGTGTTATTAAATTAAGAAGGAACTCTATGATTAGTTTTTGCACAATATATCTATAGCATTGAATGTCTTAGGTAGAAAGTTGTAATAAACCAAACTGTAACAACTTTCATGTGTAATTGCACACTCTAATATAGCGTATTTTCTAAAATTTCCTTTCTTTTTTTGGTGCCTTTTTCCTTCTTTTCAAAAACAGAAGTAAGCATGTGCATTATTTCTATCCTAGCCTTATCAAATGGTTGTTCCGTATTTCTACTACCCAACTAGTCACTTTCCACAGAGTGTTACTTTCTATGCATGCTTCTTCTTCTATTTTTGATGGGATGAACTGCTTCATGATAATAATAGAAAATGTGTTTGATAAATTCTTACAATATTGAGAAAAAGTGGGTAGGAAATTTATAGAGATGTTTTGGTATTATTTGGAAGATATATGACACTATAATATTTTTTCTAATAAAGTTTGATTTCATGTAATTAAGAACAAATTATTGTGATTAATCATATTTTAGATTATTTTTTTCTCATCACTTTTCTACTACAATTTGATTTTATGAATCTCACATACAAACAAATTGCTTAAATGTAATTACAAATAATTTTATTGAATAAATTTAAAAAACAATGACTAATCAATTATAATACGGAAAAGGTCCTAAAATACCCTCGAAGTATTTGAAATGGCACACAATTACCCCCCATCCACCTATTGGCCCCCAAATACCCTTTCCATCCACCTTTGGGTTCAAATTTACCCCCTTCATTAACAGATTACAATTTAAAACAATTAAATAATACTTTTAATTACGTGGCACTCAACCATTGGTTGTAATTTAATTATTTAATATAATTTTAAATCCACCCATTACCCACCCATTTTAACTTAACCCGCCCCAAATGTTATCAAACCCGCCCCTACTTACCCAATACAAAAAAAACCCATCTAATTAAGAGAACCCTAAAACTCAAATAAACACTTCATTTCTTCCAATTTTTTCACGATCTACAGAGGGTTTAGAACATCAATGTTCTTCTTCTTCAATTTGTTATAAATGTCAACTTCTTCTTCGATTTCTTCCCCTAAAGAACTTCAATCTCGTACATGTAAGTGCGGATTTATGGCAAGATATTTTACTGCTACAACTCTTGAAAATGGTGGACGCCGATTCTACCGATGTCGTCGTCTTGGATCAAATTCTTGTGGTTATTGGAATTGGATTGATGACAAACTTCCACGTCATGTGTCAACCATGATTCATAATCAAAAAGTTGAATTGGATTCAATTCGGAAAGAAAGAAATCATTTGAAGATGATTGTGGAGGATATGGGTGGCATTGAAGATCCTTATTTGAAGGATATGATTGCCGACGAAATGTCTGAGTTAAATGATATGAATGAAAATGAAATTTCTGATTTGACGAAAGTTTCTACCTTGAAGGGAAAAATGTCAAATTTGGAGTTGCCAGATAAAATTGAGAGTTCAAATCTGAAGAAAGTGTCTAGCTTGGATGATAAAGTTTTGAAGTTAGAGTTGAAAGTTCATCAATTGATAAGTTTGCTTGCAGTTTCTTGGGCTATTATTGTTGGTTTTGTAGCTGCCAAGATGATGTAGTGTGGTGCTATTGTTTGTGTTAAGTTAGTATTATTAGATTATGTTAGTTTTGTGGTTTTTTGTTATTGTAACGACGGAATTTTGCAGCTTATTTTGTTTTGAAAATTTGTCAAGATGATGTAGGTTGTTCTGTCTACTAATGAAGAATTCTACAGCTTGATAAGCTGTATTTTCTTGCATTTTGATCATGCAGTATTCGTGCACTTTGTATATGTGAAGATATAACAATAGAAATTGATATTACAAAATTATTACTACTATTTACTGCAAATTTTGACATTAATAATTAATCTCAAACATAGAGTAAAGCTAGTTAAAAAGCAAAAGCAAATCTTTTTTTTTTTTCGAATCTTAATTGTATATGTGAAGATATAACAATAGAAAGCCAATTTCAAATGGGCACGAATAAATCCACATAGTGCATAAGTGGTGAACTGGCCAATGTATCGGCCAGACTCATCCAAATGGCCAACGTTGAGCTGAACAGATGCATGATCCTTGGAAGTGATCAGCCTATTAGTGGCAGAGCTGCATCCAAATAGTATGTTAATTATCCATGAAAACCTAACATACATCTTCATTGAAGAGATGAAGATGGGCAGCTGATTCTAATCCAAAGTATTACTAGGAAGCAAGAAATACATACCACTTCCTCGGTATGTAAAGGTCCATGTTTTGTCCCTCGTCGTTCTGCATCTTGACTTTAGAAGTGGAAAGCTCAGGAAAAGCAAATTAAAAGGCATGTAGTTAACAAAACAACATACTGTTTTCATGTGTAGAGAGAGCCTACCTGATACTAATTGTGTAATCGTGAAGTAATTCGACATTTTCAAAGGCATCCACACAAGTAAAACTAATTACACTTGGAGCATCAACCTCCACATGATACAAGTTTGAATCAAAGGAAATATCGAGAGATTTCAAACGTTTATACTTTGCTTGGATATTAAATCTTACTCAAAATGCAAAAACAGCATGCTACTTTAACACAATCAAAAAGTTGAATGGATCCAAATAGTCACACATGTAATTGAGATACAACATCATTTTGGTGCTAAATCAATTAACGCTATACAGGCAATACAAATTTCAATTGCAGGAAAAAGCTTGATTACATGAACATGAATCGTACATCAATAATCCAAATTATTATATAAACAATACAGACACCATAAGATGTAAACTATACATGGCACCATGTGACTGATGGAGACAAACACACTTCAACAAGGAAGGTAACTACCTGAAGAAGGCTCGCTATATTACTGAATGGTCACAACATTCAGAAGCCAAACTTACATAAAAAACCAATCTCAGACATTAACACTGATAATAGAACTCAACATTCCAGTCTCAGACAAAACTGAGAACAGAACTCAACAATTTGCCAACAACCTAGCATTTCAATCTCAAACATTAAAACTGATAACAGAACTCAACAATTTCATAAATTTTTCAGGTCACAAAACATTTTCAGCACACAAAAGATTGTTAGACTAATTTGTCATTAACATACATGGCTAGTGACACACAGTTAAGTATCAGAAAATAGAAAACTAAGAAGTTTCACTGTGCCATTACATACTAAACAAAAACATAAAATCACTACTTAGCAACTACTTTCTAATGTTTTTCCCTCTTTGCCTTAAGCTTGCCAATTTTTTTCTCCTTGTCTTTTGTCAACTGATTTGAGGTCACACATGCTTTGCCTTTCCAAGTTAGCTTTTTTGGTGAGTATGGCAGATTAGTAGGAATAGAAGCACCATTTTCATCACCCCTGAAACTAATCCTTCTTGAACCAATTGGTTGTTGTTGCAGCTTCTCATTTGTAGTCTAGTCTTTCTTCAGATATCATCCTAGGTGCAAACACTGTACCCTCATCCTCAGATTCAATACCATCTTCAACTTCATCTTTATCAACAGTTGCAATTGAAGGTGCAACAACTATTTCTTTTCCACTGTGTTTAGACCTCTTTGGAATTGCATCAACTTTGTACTTTGAAACATTTTTTCTCTTTGATTTTGAAGGACCAACAGCTTCATTGAATGCTTGACTTGATTGCTGGCTTGTTTGTCGACTAGAAGATGCAACAAATCCAGGAGTTGGCATAAAGACGGGTTCATTTTCTTGACTTGGTTAGGGTGCTGGGAGAACTTGTCTTCCTTTCTGAAGCTATAAAATTTGTGAAAGAGTAAGATAAATAAATATACATTGTAAGTAATTATAAATTGATGAAACATAACTTACCAAAGGACATCTTCTTCGATTATGACCTATAGCACTGCAGTTTCCACATGTCATTTGCAATCCTTTTCTACTTTTCGACCATAATCCCTCCCTTTTTCTTGCCTCATCCTTTTCCCTTACTCTCTTTAATTTTGGTCTACCAACCAATTTATGAATTTGTGGTGGTTGCATAGCTTGAGAAGGATCAATTTTCCAGAATTTCTCACCCCTAACAGGTTGAATTTTAGGTTGGTACACAAACAAGTAAGCTTCTTTTGAGTACCACCAATGCATCTCATTCAGTGGTTCTAGTATATCATAGTTCTAATTGCTTTAATAGCATGAGGACATGGTATTCCTGTCAAATCCCATGTCCTACAAGTACACTTCTTTGTAGCAAGATTCACAACATGTCTATCTATACCCTCAGCCACCTCATATCCTAAATCTCCATTAGCAACAACTTGACAACCTTGTGCAATCATACTAAAATCATGATACAGATCTATGGAGTATGGACAATACTTTTCTGTCCACCTCTTACCCTCTTCTTCAAGTTGTTTCAACCTTTTTCATAACCTATAAATAGCAGTGAAATATATAACATATACATGACATATATAATCTAAACATAACACCTACATATTACTATCATATTAAAACATAAATAGTTACTATCAGATAGTTATATAAAATAGTGGTAGTACCTTAATTCTAATGTCTTCCAGCATCTTGATTATTGGTTTTGCCCTTGCTTCAAAAATTCATTTGTTGAATGACTCGGTAAAATTATTTTCACATGAGTGGTTTTTGCAGACAGTGTCAAAAAAGGCCCTGCACCAGTGTTGTGGTGGATACCATAAAAGATCTTTGGCTGCTTGTTTAGACACAGAACCCATAGACTTTAATTGGTCATTAAATTCCTCTTCATAGGTACTCCAAGCAGACCACCAAAACATCTTCTTCATCTGTACACCACTCCAAGACCTGGACCAATTGGCTTCTATGTGCCTTGCACACCATCTATGTTGTGCTTTTGGAAGCAAATCACCAACAGCGCCAATCAAGCCCTGTAACAACAAGAAAAAATAGAATAGAATAACTTAAAAAAATTCAAGTGTATACAATAACTATAATAAAAAACTATCAAACACTTGCAAAATTACCTTTTGCATATCAGACATAAGTGTCAATCCTTCACCATCTGCCAACCCCAATGAGTTCCTCAGCAACTCAATGAACCATTTCCATGTTCTAATAGTTTCTCTATCCACCACTGCCCAAGCAAGTGGATAAAAATGCTTCATTGAATCTTGTCCAAGTGCAACCAATAAAATTCCCTTGAACTTCCCTTTTAAAAAGGTGCCATCTAACCCTATAAATGGCCTCAGACCAGCTCTCCAGCCACTTTTCAAAGCCTGAATACAAATATACATTCTCAAAAACTTTCTTTGTCCATGTTCCAACAAAGCCTCTTTGGATATGTTTATAATCACATCAGTATCAGGGTTGCTGTCCCTTAACTCTTGAGCATAACCCTCCAATTTATTGAAATCATCAACATAGCTACCATCTAATTTCTCTAGCACAAGTCTTTTGACCCTCTTCATTTTTGAATAACTAATATTAAGCCTAAAGTTATCATCTACAATCTTTCTCATTTCATTCACTTTGCACTTAGGATCATTTTGGACCTTCTTCTTGAAGTAGTATGCTAGAGCTTGTTGAGTAGCTCTTCTATTCTTGAATGCTTCTGGACATGTATGTTTTGTTTGCAAGGTTTTAATTTCAAATCCTTGCCTTTTCTTAACTTCAGAAATCAGACACACAAAAGGACAACCAACAATACACTTATATCTAACTCTAAC